TAACGTAACCAAGATTTAATTGTTTCTTCGGTTATCTTATAAGAGTGTGGCGGCCTACAGCAACCACAAAATTACAGCAGCGAAATATTATCGTTTCTCGCAAGCGCTCGCCCGTCCGCGCGTAGTGCGGGAGACACCGCTAGTCGGCGCAAGACGCTTGGGACAACAAGAATGTGGAAAGCAGTCCGGCGGGCATATAGCGCGTCCGCGCGTAGTTGCGGGCAGCACCGCTAGGCGGCGCAAGGCGCCCGGGCCAACCTGCAAGTAGAAAGCCGTCCGGCCGGAATATAGGTCAGACCCCCTGCAGAGAAAACACAACAAGAAAGTTCTTGGCGCCAGTCGCCTACTTTCAGACGACAAGTCCCGAAGAGAGTTCTAGGCGCCAGTCGCCTGCTCTCTAGCGCAAAGTCGCTTTAAAAACGTTGGACCACGACACGGCGCCAGTCGCCGAGAAACCCTGCAAGACGCCGCGGATAGAGAGCATCATCTCGCTACCTACGGTGGCCGAGATCGCCCTCCGGCGCAAGACTCGCCCAACGCCACTACACTTCACCTCGGCCAAACGGAGAAGAGTCGGCGTTCATCCGCCTCCAACATCAGGCGCTCGGTCGCCTCCATCTACGGGCGCTCGGTCGCCTCCAGCTACAGGCGCTCGGTCGCCTCCAGGCTCGAAAGCGCGATCGCCTCCAGCTGCAGGCGCTCGGCCGCCTCCAACAACCGGCGCTCAGTCGCCTCCGGCCACCAGCGCTCCGTCGCCTCCAATAACCGGCGCTCAGTCGCCTCCAGTCACCGGCGCTCGGTCGCCGATTAACCTGGGCACGGTGGACCTGACCCTCGGCGCCAGTCCACCATCCGCCAAGGACAAACCATCGGCTCCAGGAGCCCTGCTACCCAGGAAGAAAAGGAGCAAGGACCGACTTCAGGCTTTATTCGGCGCTAGCCCGCCAAAACCAATTACCGGGCATTCCGGCTCGAAAGCCAAGAGGGACCGACCAATCACGCCGGACATCAAACGACCGCGGAGTATCACGCCTCCGATTCCGTGGTATCCTCCGCCGCTTGTCTCGCCTCTACGACGAACGCCCATTAAACGGGATAGTACCACGCAGACGAGCCCCCGCAAAACCGGCATCGACGCAGCGACGCAAACCAAGCGACGAGGAGGAAGAGCACGTAAAGTGCTGGTAAACAACAACTACCAAACGGTCAATCGCAATTGTAATAAAGAAAATCGTTGGCACGAATGTAAGACAGGAATGGAGAGAACAGAATAAATTATATTCCTGATGACAAAAACATTCATTTCTCTACCTTCCAATAAGATAAGTTGGGTAGTATCCTAAAGCGGTAGATCTCCTATCTCGTACCTACCCACAAGAGGTTTCTTGATTAGTGCTTGCGGATCCTATAAAGTATAAAAAAACTCAATTTTACAATATGAAAATTGTATCACAATTTATTTTCAAGAATCGTAATTGTAGGCTTACTAAGAATGAGTTGGCATACGGCATCAAAAGATTGAAGACTTGTTTTGGCTCCTCTTCCTGCCCAGTTTAATTTTTGTGCTAATTCATTATGAACAATCCTTCTGAGAATTCTCCGTGTGCGATCCGCTTGCGAAGTTCCTCCAAGGCGGCGAAAATGATTTACCTAAGAACAAAAATAAAATCATCTTAAATTTTTTAGCTAATTTTCTTTGAAGATAGCCATGAATAACGGAAAAGTTTTCGTTTTTCTTATAACGAAATGCAAACACTTTAGAAAAACAAAACATAAAGGTTTTACAATTTTAAGAAAGAACAACATAAATCAACATATATAATTGCTTACGTAAAGTGCAAAGACAAATTTTTGTTTCAGAAGTTCATTGAAAGTTGAAAGATTTCTCAGTGATAAGGCAGGTATAAGAGTCTCTGTTTCCTCAGGTAACTTTTTTTCTGTAACGTTGTCACTGAACAGTTTGTTTTTTATACATTTTATGTCTTTCTTTATGCTGCCTATGTCGTACTTAATATCTTCAAATGTAATAACAAATTTCGTGATTTGACCTGAAAGCATGTTTGATTATTAGCATTTTAATGTTTGTAATAGTAAGTATTGATTTTCTCATGAACAATAGTAAAAACTTATTTTACCTTCAGATAAACTTGTATTTGCTCGCGGTTGTGACGTTGTTGCTACTCTTGCCGCTGTCTTAAGTACAGAAGAATGCGAACTCATTTCTTTATCGATATCTATAAACATAAGTCAGAGGTTATCAAAAAATTCTATAATTTACTAAAAACATAAAAACATTTGTTTTATGTAATTTACTTTGGATATTATCATTACTAGTCGGTAACTTAATAGGTTCTGGTTCAGGTAAAGGTTTGCTTTTTTTTCGACATTGAAACTTGTTCTTTGAAATAAAATTTCGATTTCTATCTATCTTATCATCATTTTCACTGGATAAAGATGCTTCATCAGATGATATTTCAGATGCAGATTTGGATGCATAACGCTGATTTGGAAAGCGTTTTCTTTTATTTATTTGGTTTTCGATTACCTCCGTGCCTGTTTGAATTTCATCAGTATCTAAATACTGATATCCATCTCTTTTTGATTTAGCTTTTGTTAAGAGATCTGTAAATTATACTAATTAGTTTCATATCAAACTGAGCTTTCAATTCCCGTGAGAAAAGAGATAATAAAATAAAAGTCAAATTTAAATTTTGAAAATATGTTAACAGTTATTATTAAAAGTCTATTTAAAAAAAAA